AACAATTAGAAACGAATAGACAAGAAAATGTTAAGAAACTGAAACAAAAACAGGAAGCAGACTTGAAATACCACAATAGAAATAAAACCCCATTAAGAATTATGAGATAGAGGACAAAATTTATGTGAATGTAAATAAAAGACTGGGAAATAAACTAACGCCACGATAAAGGGAGGAGAGAGTTGCGCAAAACATAAACACCACAGTTCTAACTAAGTCAGCTAAAACTGTTCACAAAAATTTTATAAAAAATTGTTTTATTTCTCCTGCTTTTGATCCATTCTAACACTGATAGTAGCGGAACCTATGACAACCTAATAGACAAACTCGAACAAGCAGCGATCGCCCACACAAATCCTGGTAACCCACTAACTTCCCATGTCCTTCTCCTCACGGGCCAGGCAAAATGCTACCTTGATAGACTCAGAATAAGGTAAGGAATAAACGGTCAATTGATTTTATAGGAACCGCATGGAAGTGGATCGCTGGTAACCCAGACCACCGCGACTGGGAGATAATTGAAAATAAAATTAATAATGTACTAGAAAATAACAATCAGCAAGTAATCATAAATAAAATAACCACAGATAGAATAAATGAAATGACTAAGATTACAAATGACATATTAAAGCTACTAAAAGACTCTACAGAAATAGAAAATAGAATTATATTAAACATAAAAAATAAAATTGAAATTGTAAAAGAGGAATTCCTAAACATATCCTATGCTATTCATTGGCCTAAGGCCAATATAGTAAACTCGAACATTCTAAATAACGAAGAAACAATAGTAATGGAAACTGTATTAAAAGAAGTAAAAATGCCCTACATAAATATTGATGAAGCTCTTGAATTTGCCAATGTTAGCCACTAATGATAAATCAATTATTTACGTTATAAGTATGCCCACAACTAAACCAAATTATTGTGCTGAAGAACATCATTAGACCTGTAAAATTGGCGATAGAGTAAACAAAATCGATTCTAACTCCTTACTAAAATATGAAACGAAAATATTAATCGAAAGTAATTGTAAAAGTTATAATGAATTATCTATTTGCTCTCCCAATAATTTAGTATATTTAAGCAATAGTTCATGTATACCCAGTTTATTAAAAAGCGTACCACCTAGATGCATTGAAACGAACAATCAGCACATACCATCTGTAGAAGAGATAGCGCCAGACCTAATATTCCTCAACCAATATGACGGACCTGCCAGCATAAATGACGAGATAATGTCGCTCAATGGGACCTTTTTGATAAAACATCATAATGTAACCATAAAGATCAAGGATGGAGTTTACGGGACGAAGGAAGTAACCAACAGCAAGCCAATGCCGGCCATTCTCCAACCTAGCACAGTAATAGAGGATGACGAAGAAATTTTGTCGCTCCAACAGATGAAACAGTTACAGATAAACAATACGAAATATATCGAGCTACTACAAGACGGTAATTGGAAGAAAGTCACCATGAAATTTTTACTAACAGGAGCGCTAGTTTTGGCAATAATAATTTTGATGTTGAGGTCCTTGACTTGTCCTAAAACATGCAGAAGGAACTCCACCACGACAGTTCCTCAAGATAACCGTATCGAGCCTGTACCCGAACCTAGGGTAACAACTTTGGGACTGAGCGACATTCCCAGCTCATGGTTGTCGAACGAGGTCGTTCGAAATTAAGGAGGGAGGAGTTAACAAATAATAAGTTTAGAAATACGCGGCGGCCTAATGCGCTACACGCGCAAGACATTTCTGCTGACCACGCGCCTTCCAGATTGTGGGAACGCTAAAATATTCTGCAACCCAATATGTTACACGCGCAAGACATTTTTGCTGACTACGCGTCTTCCAGACTGTAGGGGCGCTAAACAATACCACACCCAGAACTTTTTGGACCAACCGGCTAATTTGGCGAAAAACCCGGCTAAAAACGGCTAAACTGTTTCAACTAAATTTCACTTGTTTTATTTAAATAAATCATAAGTAGAAATACTAGTTCTTGGAGAGAAGTTGCAAATTCAAGCTGGAAAAAAAATTTCCAGCAAGAATTTGCCATTAGGAAAAACATCTGATTGTTACACATGGTTGCATTTTTTGTCGACGATAATTTAAATAAACAGGTTCGTAAAATTTTAACATTTACAAACTTGAGCGATTTTAAAATGAAAACTTTAAGTAAATACTTGTTTATTTAATTAATTTAGTTAATTCCCATGATTTGAAACGTACTCGGAATGTAATCTCAACCAGAGTCTATATAGTAAATCTGACAAAGAAATTGAATTTGTTGAAGAAAGTCCGACTGACAAGATATATACATGTAGATCCTGTTTTTTGTCCCGCTGAAAGAATTTTAAAAGTCTATACAAATTTCTTCTGTTTGAAATGCAACCGTGGACACTAGCTGGCAGGGAAACTAAGTTCCTGCAAATTTGCGTTCGTGCTGAAATTTGCAAGTTTCTTTACTTAGGAGAGAATTTGGGAGCATCTATTCTTACTAACTGATATTTTGAGTGATAATATTCGCTGGGGTTTCGACGAACAAACCTATCGTCTTCCTAGAGAGTTTTGCTTTACATAGAAATTTGTGCTCTTTTACTTTCATTTTGACGCATTTCAGTATTAGTTCTTTTGAAGCAAGTTGGCCTTCGGTTTTTGGAATTTAAAAAAATTCTCAGCAAAAAAAGTTAGTTTAAATAAAACCATATGTGTACATGGTGCTTGAAAATATACATTTTTCCCTTACCTTAAAACTCTAAGCATGGGCAACAATGATGTTTTTTAACTAAGGCAGAATTGAATATGCGCTATCTGGGAAGACAATACCTGTAACATTTATACTTGGCACTATATCCAAACACAAACGCGTGTTAAGCAAACAGTGAAACAATTTGTTATTTTCTAAGTTTGCGAATAAAACTTCACACTTAAATTTAAGTCATTCATAACAAACATTTTATGAAGAAAATCCCCGTTACGGCCTTCTTTAGAAAAAAATATATTCGTTGAAAATAAAAATAAGCGAAATCGGCCCAATTTTATATAACCCTGCCTCCGCGATAAGGCTATTAGCCATTTCTCACAGATTTTGGATCGCTTAGTCAGAAACATATATATTTTAATTTTAAGAAAACCAGGTAAATAGCAACATCGGCTAAAAACGGCTATTTTTTTTTTACAAAACGGCTAATAAATCGGCTTCCGGCTAAACCGATATTTCTCCGGCTGTTTTCTATCGCAACCGGCTAAATCTAGCCGGAAAACGGCTCAAATGGCAACACTGATCATGCCGCCGTTGCTGCTACCGACGCCGTCCGCTGCCACTTTGCGTAGCTGTGACAACGCTGCGGCCACCCAGCAGAAAAAAATTATCAATTGATAAAAAATAACCCAGTTGTAGTTAGCTTTTTTGCGGGATTTCTATAAAATATATAACCCGTAGTTAGCTACAAAAAGCTAACTTGAAACTAGTTGACAAGTAATGCAGGAGTAATGAAGGAGATTGTTTTCTTTAAACGCATTTCTATTTAAATATCATGCACTTCGCAAATACTCTTTCGAATTGAGGACAAATAAAAGGAAGATCGAAATTTCATATTATCGTTTTGAAGATATGTCTGACGGAGTTGGAACATGGGACCACCTACAGGAGAATATGTAAACAAATATGAAATGTAATAAAATAAATAAAGTAAATAAAAATAAAAAAGAAATAAAAAAAATATTTTGTTTTTTCTATTGATATTTTATGTCCAAAAGTATCTAGTTACAAGTTAGTTACATCAAATGCACAGGAAACCACCCCTGACTACATCTAATGCAGAGGTAACCACCCTTGACTATTTCGCGGCCATCACCATACAAATATAGTTAGCTTTCGCCAAAGAATATATACAGATAACAAGTGACTTTTAGCTCCTTCCTAATCAACTTAAAGTTAGCTTATAGTTAGATCCATTTCCTGCAGGGCAGAAACAACTACGATATTGGTTTTCGATTTGGGTTTAGTGCAGTTGGTTTTGCTAACTCAATAAAGAAGGAGCGATTCGCTCCTAAAGTAAAAACGTAACGTAGTTTTCGTTAACTTACATACACACATATCGTCGTTTAAAGTACAAAACCGCGTATCTTCATTCTGCAAAACTGCGTAACTGACATTTGCTGCCAATAATTGTATTTGCTCACACAAGTTCTTGGCTCAATCCTAAACCATTCGTCCTGAAATATACTTGCAAGAAATGCGATTGCTTTATCAAAAAGGGAACCATTTAGAAAAAAGTATGAGTGTTTTTACTCTCTAGAAAATAATTAAAGCAATCTCACATATGCGGTTTTTCACTTTGTTGATACGCGGTTTTGTACTCTAAACGACGATATGTTTGTATGTATGCAAAACAAAATATAAGAGGAATTACTCAGATTTCTGGTTAATCAGGTTATGATTAATCAGTTTGCTGATTAATCAAATTAATAAGATTCTGATTAATCAATACGTAACTAATCGGAAAATTAATCATTTTGATTAATCAAAAATAATTATTATTTGCTTAGTTAATTAATTAGCTTTGGTTAATCAGCTTGTTCGATTGATTGATTATTCGCACATCTCTAATGTACTTATTTTACGATGCTTGATGTTGAAATGATTTTGGTGTATAAAAACGCTGTCTTTGTACTCTGTTCTCCTAAAACTTACCTCAAATTCGCCGATAGTAAACCGTGTCGCTGCTAATGAGTTCTGAGGTGGCATATCCGGACTCATGACCTGATTTCAAGGTTTTTCAGGTATATGTTAGTAACCGCATAATATAGATTAGTTACAATGTAAGCAATAAACAATAAGAGTAATAAATATGTGTTATTTGTTGTGTTAAAATTTGATTTACAAAAGCAAACTAACTGCACATAAACGAATAGCTGTGCGCTTGTCTTTTTACAGAAAATAAAAATAAAACTGTCCATATAACTTAAATTGAAACATCTTCTAAAAATCACCTCATCATCATCATTGTCGATCATTTCTTTTGTTGATGCCGTGGTTTCATTTCGTCTGATTGAGCCCTGGTGTATATCTAGATCCACTTTCAAGCATTGGAAGCTTCGCATCAAGAAAACGATGGGCATTGGCAATACCCCAGCAAGAATCATAGCTAAAGCTATAACCATCACCCAAGACGGATAGTTAGCTTGTTGCACTGCGCCCTATAAAAATTTGCGAAAAAGTTAGTTTCATTTTTAATGATTCTCCGCATGTATATAATGTTTATTACAAGTTGTGCATTCCAAGCTCCGTAAGTGGGGTTCTTGATCACCATAAAGACCACAGATGAAACTAAAATGGCCACCATAATCACTGGTCCAATATAACGCCAGGTCAACTGCCAGTAGAGGCCGGGTCGGTATCCAGTCATCTGATATATGTCCTCGGTAAATCTGTGTAGGATATGCAGTCAAAATGTGTTAGTTGTTACACCGTGCGACAAAAAAAAAAATAAAATTAAATTAAATCCAAACACACAAAAGAATCGATATATTCACAAAACTATGGACCAAATATAGTAAAACTGAGTTTTTATTTTTTACTCTGACCTCAGGATTTTTTTTTCAAAGTACTTTGAAATTTTAAAGATATGGTTAGTTCAAAAAATTATTAAAAACAAATCAGTGCAATGTGGAATAACAATATGGGTACCAAATGAGAGAGGAAATTCTGTAAAACTTAAAACCAATAAAGTTTTTTGGCTTACAAGGACGAATAGGTGCTCTTTTAATAAATTTTATCTTTATAAATTAATACAATTTTCAGGACGAAAATCGATGATGAGGTCGTGCATATATTGGTCCTCAAACAGTAATTTTTTCAAAAAAGATATTGCAAATTTTCAAGCCTATTTAAGGAAAAAATTTATAAAGGACATTTTGCATACCCATTCGTCCTTTTCCCCAAAAAAATTTATTCCGGTATAATTCTACAGAACTTTTTCTTTTATATGATACCCTTATTGGTATCCTATATTGGACTGAACTTTTTGAACAATTTTTTGAAATAATCATATTTTTTAAATTTCAAAGTCCTTTAAAAAAATCCTGACGTCAGAGAGAATAACTAAGTACGCAATTTTACTATAATTTACCCATAGTTTTGCGAATATNCCTCAAACAATAATTTTTTCAAAAAAGATATTGCAAATTTTCAAGGATATTTAAGGAAAAAATTTATAAAGGACATTTTGCATACCCATTCGTCCTTTTCCCCAAAAAAATTTATTCCGGTATAATTCTACAGAACTTTTTCTTTTATATGATACCCTTATTGGTATCCTATATTGGACTGAACTTTTTGAACAATTTTTTGAAATAATCATATTTTTTAAATTTCAAAGTCCTTTAAAAAAATCCTGACGTCAGAGAGAATAACTAAGTACGCAATTTTACTATAATTTACCCATAGTTTTGCGAATATATTCATTTTTTTTTTGTGTGTAAAATGTACTGTTATATCATTGTAATAGCAAAATCGGAATTAGTTAGTTTTGTGGTATATTTCAAAATGAAAAATACTGATAAGGTTCTAACGGACTACTTATATCATACACAAGCAATGCTTAAAATTTAAGCGAGATAAAATTAATACAAGTGATAGATCACCCCATATAAAAAATATTCCTTATTTGCAAACCCTGGGTAGAACAGCTAACATCAGCAGCGATGTTAAGTAATTCAAATACAAGTATTCAAAATACAAATAGAAAGTAAAAAATACGTATTTAAATATATTTTTAAAAAAGTTTGTACTTGTATTTTAAATGCTTTTTTAAGCAGTATTTGTAGTTTGTATTTTAAAACGTATTTTCTATTCTTCTTTATTAATAAGGATTTTCTTTACAACATTTTCAAACTCTCTCATTCGGATTAGGGTGGCGACATCGACAACGATTCTTGTAAATAATCGACGATTTGAGACAAAATCGAGTTCCCAAAACATCGATTATTCCTTCCCGATATTTGGCCAACCTCGATTTATTGATTCCATGGTTTTCATCGATGGACATGGCGGGAAATTAGAGTGTCACTTCAAGAAGTGTTGCACTTTTTTATTCCTCTTTGAACACCGGCGGAACGTATTAGGCAACAAAGATTTAAGTTCCCGCCGATGATTGTAGGGAAAAATGAAATTGAAAATGTGGTATTAGTATAAATAATGAAATCTTTATTCAAATATTTTCATAAAGAGATACATACAAGTATAGTTGGATTTTCAGATTACCTTGGCAAATATGTATTCGCTTGGTGAATAAAAGCTGGAGTATGGTGGCTGGAACAATCCTCTTCCTTCAGATCTCGCAAAAGAAGCAAGTGACGGTTTTTCTATTTTCTAACGTTAAACTGCCGAACTGTTTCTTAAGGAAAGGGAAATTTCGCTTACAGAACCGTTCGACAGTGTTAACATAATGTTAAGCATTAGGGTGGCACAAAAATTGGCACATTTAGGCTTAAGGCCTAAACATGCCACCCCCTTGCTGTAAGAAACAACCGAAGCACCTTCATTCCAGCTACCATACTTCAAAGTATTTTAAATTTTCATAAAATTTTCAGTTTAACATATATTTATGCATATACATATAACTCGTCATCTTTAATTCTAGTTTCTAATAAATAACTTAAAGAAATGGAAACGTGATTGTTTTTAAAATTTCAATTGCACTTTTAATTCAGTAATTCATTCATATTCATATAAAAAAGGAACTTAAAAGTGAATAAGGTAAATTTAAATAATGCAACTAACAGGCGCCCGATAAAACCCATCCAAAAATCGTATTTTGGGCAAGAAGCGGTACGAGTGCGCCCGCTGGAATGGCGCCAAGAAGTAATTTAGTAATGTAGAAGTGTAAGACGGACTGGCGCAGAGATGTGGAATTGGGCAGCACCTAATTTAAAATTTGCGTACGTACTGGCAATCACGCTGTCGATGCTGCTGATCGGTGTACGCTTGCGGTAGTTACGGACGGACACTGCGTGTGTGCTGACCGTCATCGAATTACCATACTTGCCGCGCATTTTATTAAAACAGCCCCTTTGGTGGTTGACTGCCGTCATATTTAAGTTCAGCTCCCGAGCAAGATCTTCGGCGATGATTGAGTTTGATGTGCATGGATCGATTAGCGCTCGGATCAGGTGAAGTCGCCCTCCTGCTTCGATCTTCACTAATGCGGTGGGTGCGACCGCCGTAAGGCATAGAAAGGGCAGTGCTGCCTCCGGTCCCGCTCGGATTAAACCGGATCGAAAATTGCGTCTATGTGGCGGCTGGAACGCATGTGATTCCAATCTCCATTGTTGCTGCGAACGGTTTCGCAGACGTCGATATTGAGGACGATGCTGACGGAACGGTGGTTGGAAAGCATATGTTTCCAATCCAGCCTGTTGGCTAAGCTACAGCGCAGAAGTTCCAATGCGCTGCTAGTACCTGGATGGCGTGCATTCGACTCCATTCTAGAGGACTCGTCTGCGNAAGCTATAGCGCAGAAGTTCCAATGCGCTGCTAGTACCTGGATGGCGTGCATTCGACTCCATTCTAGAGGACTCGTCTGCGCTTGCAACATATTCCCTTTCAGATGACTGGTGACGGTGGCACTTCCCCTGCTCTGGGTCTAGGCAAAAAGCCGATGTCTCCGCTCCGACCTCACACGCTTCTAGGGAAATTACATCTTTTACATGACGATTTTTTAGAGTTTGATGATACGAGCAGTGCAAAAGCCCTTGGAATAAGATGGAATGCTCGTGCTGACCATTTCTATTTTACAACCAAACCGATTGAAAATCACAAAAATGTAACCAAGAGAGAATTTCTTTCAGCCATCGCCAAACTTTTGGATCCACTAGGATGGCTAGCACCAGTAATTATCGTCGCAAAAATATTAATGCAGAGCATCTGGTTAGAAGGCACCACGGCTACCACAATGGAGCGATGGCAATCGTTCATGCACGGTTACAAGGAAATCGATAAAATACGGATACCCCGATAGGTACATTGGATACACGGGTTCTGTGATGCGTCTGAGAAGGCGTATGCTGCCACAGTTTACTTACGCGTAGAGAGAGAAGACCAGGTATTCATCAGCTTGATTCTGGCCAAAACTAGAGTAGCGCCAGTGAAAACCATTTTCTTACCACGATTGGAACTTTGTGGTGCCGTATTGCTGGCAGAGATCGTTGAATCAGTCGTAAATAATCTTGATTTTGGCCATTTAAACTTACATTTGTGGACTGATTCAACCATCGTTCTGGCTTGGATACGCAAACCACCGTGTTCATGGTCTACATTTGTGGCCCATAGAATCACAAAAATAATCGACAAGGTATGAAATAAAAACTGGAGCCATGTGGATTCATTAACGAATCCAGCAGACCTGGCAAGTAGGGGTGTACTAGCTCACGAATTGCTCACCCACTCTTTGTGGTGGCAGGGACCTTCTTGGCTACAAGAAGATAAAGAGAAGTGGCCAGCACAAGATTCAGACTACAACACAAACATGGAAGAAAAAAGGGTGCACGTTCATGCAGCTGTGACAACTGAAAACATTAGCGACATTCTTGAACGATTTTCTAGCTTGCCTAGAGCTTTGAGAGTAATATCATACATGTTGAGGTTCTCTCAAAGATCTCACCCGGAAACAAAAGCTTCATTTAAGCCGACATCTTGCTTAATTTCAGCCAGTGAAATTAAGGCAACGACAACATGGCTAATAATCATATCGCAGAAGCAGCACTATGGAGCAGAAATCGCGAGATTAAAATCTGGAGAATCAATCGATGCCAAAAGTGAAATATTGCCGCTAAATCCATTCATTGGCACCGAAGGTGTACTAAGAATAGGCGGACGTCTTGGTGCATCCCTCGATCTGGCATACAACGAACGTCATCCAGTCATCCTTCCTTACAATGGTAGGTTATCTCGTTTAACTGTCCAGTTCGTTCACGACATTTCATTGCACGGAGAAAATCAACTAATGTTGCGCCTCATTAGAATGCAATATCGGATTCTGAGGGTAAAAACGATGATTCGATCCATTATATTTAACTGTAAGATCTGCACGATCTACAAAAAACGCTCACAAAATCAACTGATGGGAATTCTTCCGCAAGAAAGAACGACTTTCTCGCGCGCTTTTACCAACACGGGGGTAGATTTTACAGGGCCATTTGATATAAAAAGCTGATGCCCGCACCAACGCTGTATCGAAATACGTTCATCAGGTATTGTCTTCGCATTTCATACCGCATGGAGCTCCACACATGGGTGGTCTGTGGTAGGCGGGTGTCAAGGGGTTCAAGAACCACTTTAAGAAGATAGCATCCGGCTCGAAGGACCAATGAACACCAGCGGAACGTATTAGGCAACAAAGATTCAAGTTCCCGCCGATGATTGTAGGGAA